TATTTCACTGAGTAGATAAAAGACGGACATCTTCGCTGATCAATCTTGAGTTGTGAAATGAACGATAGTACCTTGTTCAGTGTTTGGTATTGACTTCAAAACTTCTTTTCAGATTATGGATAATAAAGAAAGATGCCTTCAAGGTGTTTCTGCGCTATTTTACTCTGATTCTATTGGTTTTCTATTGTAGAGAGCGCATGTGGCGCAGTGGTTAGAGGTGCCCTAGGTCGCACACGAGGTCAGTGGCTCAATCTCGCGCTCATGGCTCACCAAGCCGTCCATCCCTCCGGGGTCGGTAAATTGGTACCAGACAGGGCTCAGACTTGTCTAAGAGGATAAGCAGCACTGACTCGGTTCAGCGGGACGCTACCGCGAGTCATTGTAAAGGCCAGATGTGCATTCAATCACCTCAAACGAAATTTAAAATTGGAGTCGAATGCATGGCGCATCCCTCTGGGATCGATCAACGCCGAGAGCTTTATCCTTTAGCTTTATCTATTGGTTTTCAGCTAATACATACCGCTTTTTTGCGCGGCAATGTTGAAACTAAACTTTTTTGCGCTTGGTGATTGATGCTGTGCCTTTTGTCTGAAAAAGTGTTAGAGTCCATCGAACTCACTTTTATGGTCTCGATGTTAAAAAACGCCCAAGTAAAACGAGGGGTTGATAATTCCCCCACTTCTCATTTTTCATGCTTTCAGCTAGTGATTCGATTAATAAACATGAATCATATTTGCTCATGATTTTCAATATCAGCAAGAGAACTGGAACACAGCAGTGGATTCACCTGATGAATTAGTAGATTGATTCGGTGAGAAAAAAACATAAAAAATAGGTAGCTCAATCATCAAAAAAATTTCCCTCGTTTCAGGCAATCAACTTTGATTTTCCTCCGTAAAAGTAGGCACAACACAAATAAAGTAATTCATACTGATTCTTGGAAATCAGTGCTGGGTCAATGGTGTCTGACTGGCCCAAAAGGATATGCTCTTTCAAGCACCCAAGAAAAAATTAAAAGGTAGAATTGCAATAACGTAAGATAGTATGTGGCCGCAAAAAGTAAAGCTGATTAATGCAACTCTTCAAAAAATAATACCCATGAAAATTAACGTTGTATTTTCTCACGCTGATAAGAAAATCAGCTAAAATGTCACGAAAAATTTCTCCCGTTTACGTTAAGAAATTGAATGTGTTATTTTAATATTTGAAAATGTGCAACTTGTATAGGGAAATGGACGGTTGTTCAAAGGTTTGTGAGCATACGACTTGGTACACCGATGAAAAGCAATTTATCACGCAAAATAATCTCAGGAAAGCAAAGTCAACAAAGTAAATGAACCAAAAGCACAATCATCCCAATATTTACAGAAATGCAATATTAATGACGCGAGGTTGGTAGTCAACACCAGCGTCGTCTACCAACCTCGCGCCAGCGAAATAGCTAGGTTTCTTGATAGTCAACTTTGATGCCGAAGTTAATTGAAAGTCGATCTCACCAACTTTTACGTCTAAAGAGATTTAACGAGATTAGCTGAATCCTTAAGGATACATATGAGAAATAGAGATGGCAATTGCACTACTGTGCATGAGTGTATCGTTGCTTTATGAAATAATTGTAGTGGCAGATCCTTATTCGCGAATTGGCGCGCAATCACAGCATCGATTTGGCAGTTAGATTTCGTTGTTAAAAACAAATCCCATCGCATAGCATTACATGCATTTTCAAAAATCAAATTGTGCCCACCATTCAACGGATGGTAGCGAAGCCTATGTGATCACCAAGAAAAGGTGAACCGCGGCGAAAAACTCTATAGAATTTTTCATGAATCAATTGCCGGAGATGACTGCGTCAAAATAATCTGATAGCATATTTAAAGTCTTTCTGAGGTTTGGTATGGCACTTCGAGTGTTAGACGTACGTTTCGCATTTCATGTCAATCCTCGTCAGCGGCACATGGATTTCTTTCGAATAGAATTATACTGACCATTTAGACAGATTAGTATGAAACTCAATTGCTACGACTATTTTCTATCGTCGAAGCGATGTCTCATTCTTGCATAGAGCCTTACAGCAGATATCGTTTCTCTGAAAATGAATTATTGCGCGTCTATTTTGCATATTGAAATCTTGACATATACGAGAAACTTTCTTTCTATGGAAGTCATTCTCGTTGCGGATCATTTTAGAAGGTAATTGGCTGTGGGTAATCGAGTAACGTTGCCGGAACTTCTCCGGGAACGTGATGGAGATGTTGTTTACCAAGCTATTCAGAACTGTTGTTTCTGATTCATTGTTATAGAATTGATATGAAACTTCTGGCTCACCTTTTCCCCGGAAAACTGAGATATTACACGATTGCGTAACGATTACAGAAAAGGTCTATATCATCATGAACTGGATTTCTACTATTTATGACGATAGTCTTTTGTGATCTGCCAAGTTTACTTCCGGAATTCTGCGAAATTCTACACAATTGTGCAGCGACTACAGATAAGGCATATATTATCATAAAGTGGGATTCCTTATATTTCTCAACTAAAATTTTTGGTGATCTGTCAAACTCATCTCAGACTTTGCATTTTATTACGCAGTTTTGTTAGTTTGCTGTTTCAGCAAATGTTTTTGAAAAAATTCTATTTTTTCCTTATAAAGAAATCAGCACCTCAGCCTGGCAGTATGTTTTTCATGCTTTCAAATTTGAGTTAAATGTAAACTAGCTTAGCTATGATGTTGTTTCTCTTTTTCTCTGCTTCATCTTGTAGAGAATTGTTATGCTTTCTCAAGTGTTTTGCGTTTACGAATCACAATGGAGTTTTCGCATTTCTTCTCATGAACCTTTCATTCCACAACGTTTTACTTTTATTCAGTCGTTTAATCAGTGCGTTATTCTGTGGTTGAGCAGTCAAAAATAATCGTATAGACCTTTCTCAGCACACGAATGCCATGCAAAAAAATGAATGAAACACTTATCCCGTTTGATTTGTTTGATTTAAGCTGTAATATTGTGCGATAAATATAGTTCTCACCACACAATTCATCATCACTGAAATCACAAAGCATAGATGCTTAGAAATTAATCACTAATTTGAGGAAGCTAAAAAACTTATGAAGGTTGAAAGAGAATGTTAAAAGCTTTTCGACTTTAGTAGAGGTCCTTAGCCCTGTCACTATCACATGTGCCGTACGGTAATCAAAATTCTTCAAAACTATTTTTACGCCCCTAAAGCTTTTTTAAAGTCCTCCAAGATTTTGCAAACCGAGGAATGGAACGACGACCATTAGAGATTAATTAATCAAGTCTTTGATGATCACTGATTAATAAATAAATACTGAATTAGTGCGATAACCAGCGACGCTGAATGGTTAGTTGTGAAAGGATTAAGGCAAGAGTTATGATTCCTCTGTATATGTCTTCATATATATTGCAGGGTATGAATAATTACTGTGAACAGTCGTTTACTTTTAAGCTTACCTACAATCAAAAAAGCAGAAAACAAAACTTGTATTTTTGAAGTCTCTCATATAAGCACTAGAGGGCCTTTGCTTTAGAAGCCAATGATACATTAAAACATGCCACCTTAATGAAAAATAAAGTGAGAAAAGAAACGTTTGAAAGGGTTCAAAAGGTGTAAAATTTTGTTCTAGAAAAACAAAACAGTATGCAACTTGTTAAAAAATTTCCGGAATGATTGTAGTTTTTATTCGATCTGATAAACTAAACTGTGAGCAGAGAATATTGATTCAATGTTGAATTGCTTAGGTTATTTTCACGCCATATGACTCCTGTGTTGTCCAGGTCATCACTTAGAGGTAAAAATCAAAGACATTAATGCGCAACTGATAATTTTGTTTTAAGCATTTCCCGTTATTTTATAAAATTCAGTCATTATAACTGACAAGAAAAAAGAATGCATCAAATGAAACATGGTTTTTCCTCAGAACGTTTACCTCTTTCCTGGATTGTATCGCTGTTTAGTGTTTTCGAATCACAAGACTATTTTCCCTCATCGCAGTGAGTTTCAATAACATGCTACAATCGCCGACGTTGACAGCGCAATAGCAGTGATTATTTCTTGATTGGAAAAAGTCACCCTGGCAACTGGGCGGCAAAGGAAAATATCGCCTTTCTTGGCAACAGACGCTTCTCTTTAGAAATTTTTTAGTTCAGCCTCTCACCTGCAGATAAATTTCACTTTAAATCCTTTACAAGAATTTCTACAATGATACGCTTGTTATTGATGACAGATTATGTTTGCCTCAAGTAGCATCAATGTAAACACTCTGTAATACGTGCCAGATTTTATTTTAATGAATCATTAAATAATTCTATGATTTAAATTTCATCATTAGGAATTACTTATATACTGAATATCATTGATAGCTGACATCAGGAATTATACTCCAAGATCTTTCCTTCACTATGCAAAATACTGATGGTAGTGCGTTTTCAAACAAATGCAGTTTTAGTGCTTATTCGAGAAATTCTTTAATCATTATTTGCATTCTTTGGATTTTGATCGACAGCTTTGATAAACATTTGTTCGTTTAATACTAGGAGAAGTTATGTTGATAGAAAATAACTAGATATAAAAAACGCTCATTTGCAATTTTTCGATCAAAAAGATCGCAAGAAGAAGCAAGATAAGCCCGTAATGAAATTCCTCAGTGTCGTGTCTCCTCTATGACTTCATTATTCTATTTCATTTGCTTTATTGACTCAAAAAGAATTTAGACCTCAGGTTTCACTTAGGAGAATTAAGTGGTGAGCAAAAACATGGCCTCAGGAGGGAGTCGAATACGCGATTCATCCAAACCCGGAACTCGTGCTACTACCATTACACCACCAAGATACATTTGCGCCACCACTTCTAAATTAGCTATCAGCCGCCAACGTCTAACAGGTTTGGTCGGGTATGCAATTTCGCTCCATAAACCCAGTTGAGCTGGCTAAACAATCCATGCCATGGCTGTCATGAAGAATGAGTGGTGACGCAAGTGTGCCTTTGTGGTGTAGTGGTAATAGTGCGCGTCTCCTGCATGGATGAGGCGCGTGTTCGATTCCCACCTGAGGCCGTGTTTTTGCTCACCACTCAATTCTCTTAGGTATATATGTAACATCATAACACTGCGAAAAAAAAGCAGTAAATAGTATCTAGATACTAGAATTTCAGAGCATTGCATCTCAGGAATACTTCTCTTCATCGCATCTCAGAAATACATCTCTTCAGCTGCAAATGAAAAAGTGGTTTTTCACACTAATAGCGGGCAAGGAGAACAGTTACGAATCCAACTTATATACCAGTTTTAACTTCAAAGCAAGAAGTGCTCTTGAAGAAGTACAAACTACTAGGTACTGGAAAATGTCCTCTCAAACTTGGTCGTTGTTGTTTACAAACTATTAGATTTGCAATTACGTGAATCAAATCAACACTTCTGAGCTCCAGTAATAAACACCTGGAATAGTTTAAATTTTATTGAGAAGTGTTCTTCGCTTAGATCACTGTGAGCGTTCTTGCGCATTTCGTAATCAAGATTTTCTTCAGGGAAAGGCTTTGTTCTCTTCTATCCTAGAATATTAGATTTTTGGTCTTTTCTGTTGTCGGGTAGGGATATTCAAAGATACCTCTGTCGCTGAACAAATTTATCTACTAGAGTAGAGAAAATATAATTGTGTTTCACACATGTTGCACATATCACTCATGTTTTCGTAGCGTAGAGCTCTTTCCTCAGACTACCAGTAATCGTTCAACTTCGTAAAACTCAAGGATATTAGAAATAAACTTATTTTCTAGAGACTTTTTGCAGAACTGCAGCAGAGAAAACAATATTGCATTTCAGAACGTGGCGCGGATTTCAGTCAATTCTTGAATAACTTTTTCTTTATTTCGCAAAACTTGAAAGCTTTTTTGCCTTAAAATTGTTGAGATAGCCTTATCCTATCGCCTTGAGGGCTTAGGCTTTCTTTAGTTTTGTTTAACCAAATAGGCCCACACCTAAGCCCACATCTAAGCCTACGCAACCTAAGCCTAAACGCGAAAAGCGTACGAAATTTAAAGAAGGTCGTAAAGTGTCAGAACTATACATTTTGTTATAAGTTTTCTTCAAAACAAAGCAAAAACATAAATTAAATAACCAGAGTCATGTGCCACATGTGAATCGCGTGCACGCACGATCGACCTATCGCGTTGTCAATACACAGCCACCCGCGTACCCTAGTTGACAAGCAATGCACGGAGTGTTTGAAGTCCAATTTTCCTTTTTGTGCTACACTGCAGTTAAGCGGTCTTTCCAAAAAATGAGCACAACTTTGGAATCGGAGAACTTGCGCTATCGAACGGCTACTCATGATTAATTTCAAGAAAAGCTGGAGTTTTTGGTCTTGAAAATTTCATGAAGTTGTGGTGAAGTTATCAAATATGTGATAAAGAGCGGTCCTCACGAGAAATGGAGTTTGAATAGACACCACATATTGAATATATAAAAAACCGGTTCTTCTGTTATTTTTCAAAAGTCATCTACCAGGTCTCTTTGAGACAAGGCAGTTTCAGCTTCATAGTTATGTACTTTTCATAACTAGTTTTAATCATTACGTGAGTTCGAAGTTTTTGTTAGAAAGTCATATCATTTAAATACAATGAATGATCAGTCATTCAGTATCACTTCAGTGGCTCACCTGTTCACCAAGTTGGCACTCTCTTTTTCCAAGAAAGCCTGGTTGTCGAGCTTGAGGGCAGTGATGATTGTCTTCCCCGGGGCATGTGAACGAGCCTGTATTGTTTCATAGCGCCACCAACCACTGCATTGCATGCGGTTATTCGAAGCGTAACACTTGGAAGAAATCGTAAGTGTTTCCTGGGTCAGCAATACCTATTTTGTTTTGCATTAAGATACCGGAACTAAGCGTAATGTCTCTGTCTTAAATTAATCCTTTTTATAACGAACAATAGTGATAAAACGCATGGTAGGAACGTTGGTTTTCAGCAAATGCTCGTCGAACATCGAAGTGATTCGACTACTACTAATTAGTGGCTCATTACTAGTCTAATTTACAAGAACTAGCAGCATAACAAATGGTCATTCGTTCGACCACTTCCAGTTCAACCAGCTATTTCATTAATCGGGTTTCGACGTATATCTACAAAGTTAGCAAACATGACTTGATTAAAACCTGAGATACCCTATCAGTGCTATTTGGAATTTCCATGAAGCTCATTTAGCAATAGCAATTAGCAAGAAACTCATTTAGCAATGTAGGGCATCAAAAAAAAGCTCATTATGTAGAAGTGGCAGATCGCAGATTTCTACACACATAACGGTCCAAAGATCTTTGTGACTAACAAAAGATAATGAATTCGATCAAGGAGCTGTTGGAATCCGCACGGTAATACGAGACCTGAACGAACTAGTGAATAAAAGGCAAATTGAATTACACCTACATTATTAGGCTCCACTATGACATTCACAATACCTCATTAGAAAATAAATTTTAATAAAATGATAGAATAGCTCACAGTTACTGTTGCATTTATCTTATCTTTCGTTTCGAGTACTTTCTTAAGACCACAGCTCGAATTTCAATATGCCAAATAATCATTTTTGAGCCACGCATGTCACGTGGTCTGTTTAAAAAGGTTGACTTATAGAGCTCAATACAGGTGTTTCGACCTTGCAGTCTCGTCAACCGGGCAGTTAGCCTTTCTTGCCTTTTGCCAATCCTGTGTGAGTGCTCCAGTCCCCACACTAAGAATTAGTGACGAGGAACGTTTTACACTCTATGTTCAGTGTCAAAAATGATCATTTCACATGTTGAAATTTGAGCTGTGCTTTTAAGAAAATACTCGAAACGAGAATTATGATATATTGAATTTAGTAGCCATGAGCAATCAGATGTACAACAGTCTGTGCTCGGTGATAATTTCACTGGACATAAAGTGTAAAATGTTCGCCGCTGCTAACTCTTAGTGTGAGTACTGGAGCACCCACACAGGATTGGCAAAAGACGAGAAAAGGTAACTGCTCGACTGACGAGATCGCAAGGTCGAAACACGTGTATCGGGCTCTGTAAGTCAGCCCTTTTTAACAGACCACATGACATGCGTGGTTCAAAAATGATCATTTCATACATTTATTATTGTATGAAACCATCCCGTTGACTTGTGAAGATGCTAAACATGAAGAGCATAAAACATTTTTGGTCTCGTTTTTAGACACTTTTCTCTGTGAGTCCGTTGCTATGGGAAGGGCTTCTAACGCAAATTAAACACCGTTTTTCATTAGACATAGCGTTCAATCTCCTTTATCTCTAGACTTTTGACGCAAATTCCAATCGTGTAACGGTAATTGTTATCATCTTCTTGCTTTCATAACATAGTGACTAAGATGCAATCTTACCACTATTGTCTTCCGTTATAATGGAATACGGACTGTAAACTCTTTATTGTGATTTTCTTTTATCATAACAAAAAATATATTTTTATTCCAACGGAAATGTCCAAGATGTCAGCGTGGTGAGTCATGTATGGTGGATCATGAAACTTTTGCTTTAAATTACCCTGGAATACATATGAGGTTGTTCTCACTATCCGCTCTGAACGAGCCCTGCAATTTTTCGGGTATGACGAATTATAAACAGAATTGGCGCGAATGTACGTTAGTGGTTTAGTGGTAGCACGCTTCCCCGGTATGGATAAAACGCGGATTCGACTCCCGCATGAGGTCGTATTTTCGCTCATCACTCAATTCTCTTACGACTCATCTGAGTATTTTGTCACAGCGATCCGATATCTTAAAGTCAATAACAAAATTCGTACATCAAATGCGAATTGCTCTGCATGATCGATCAATAGCATTATCGATCCACAGCCACTCACACATCCTGGCTAGCAAGCAATACATGATATGTTTGAAGCTCAACTTTGATTTTGTTGGCTATACTGCAGCAAAGCTTTGCAAAAACTAAGGACAGCCCTCAAATCGTCTCAATTCACGCTATCGAATGGTTACTTATGATCTGAGGGGAAAACTCTGTCCTGCAAGAAAAACTCTTGTGTAAAACAAAACTTTTTTGTTTTTGCGAGAGCGTTGTCAAAGGGCAAGTAATTCTATTAAATAAACACATACCTGAATTGCTCAAAATTCAATCAACTAAACAACTTGCAGTTCAAAGAAGGAGTTCTGTTTTGCGAAAAATACCTGTAAAATGCGATTTATTTTTTGTGCTAAAGAGTTGTGAGAAAGCCTTCTCAAAAAAAAAGAACAAATGCATTCTTGAAAATTTCGAAAGCTGAGACCTCGAATGGCCATGAAATTTCAATGGAAATTCTATGTCCAACGAAAAAATCTCTTTCAAAAATATCTGCCGAATAACAAAAAAAAAAACCCGGTCTACTTTTCTGCCGTTGTTTAAAAAACAATAACATCCTTAATTTCGTCAAATCTAGAAAATTATACCTATGCACCTACCGGAGGAAATTCTAAAATACTGGGCATAGAGACACAACTGTTTCGCATCTCACTGCCTCTCATACAAATCAAAATGTTTTCAAATTCAAATAGATGTGTTTCCAAAGGATTCATCGTGACCAGTATTTGGCAAAGTACCTTTGGAGGAGGCCAATAAATAGATTTGTACCTGTGATGATATACGGTGCAATATCGGAAAAAATTTAAGGAGAAAGTTTGAAGTTCTAAAACGCTAACAAATGAAAACAAAACTTAAAAACATCACGAGGTTGGTACATCTTTTTCCTTAAAATTTGATTGCTAACGTTTTGGCAAGAACGCTACTTTTTATAGTGTGTCACACAAGACCCGGTGACCTATTTCATATAACTGTAGATGAGGCCTGACAACAGCGTTGTCGCAGAAACGATAGCTGTCAAATTCTTAAGGAAAAGAGGTACCTGCCTCGTGCAAGTTTCAAATAAAGAAAAGGACAGTTCGCAAGGAATTTTGCATTTCTTTAGCCATCCCAAGGTTTGGAGGTAGTCTGACATCCAAGCTATTATAAAAACATCAGTTATCGCGATGTGGTGATATCTCTGGAAATCAGTATATGCGAGAGTCATCAAGAG